ATGCGTTACAGTCCTTAAAAAACGGTACTATCCTAATATTAAATCAACACAAATAAAGCAACTACCAACCAAATATCCAAAATGCCCCCACCATTAATGCAATGCAAAATACTAAACGTATTGCACAGTAAATGACAACCATATTGCACAGCAAATGACAACCTTTAGATCACCACAATCAAGGGCCAACAAAAGAACACACGGTTCTCATCTAACACCTAATTCTCACTTGATTAGAAATATATATATATATATATATATACCCATAAACCCCCTAATTATCTACTCATAAATCCTATTAATTCTTACCCAACGGCTACTACTTAACTTACTACTATAAAAGACAAGAACGGCACAAGGAGAGGGGGACACATTATTCTCCTCGCACAAGAAGACTCTTCCATTCTTCCACTCTCATGAAGGGTCCATTCCAAAACTCTTCCTCACACAGGAAGACTCCATTTTCACCCCAAGGAAAGCTTCATTGTCTCAAGAAGAAATATCTCCCATATGTACAAATATAGTTTTATCCCTACCCCACATTATATATACAAAATAACTACAAAACATGTACAAATCTCCTACAAAAATAGTGAAATTCTTGGCTTGGCATCGCCCGAAAAAGCCTGTAGTTTTCACCCATTTGGTTTCCACGTAAAAATATCGTGTGTCTAATTGTCTTTTCTATCTTTTCTATCATATTGCCCGGTGAATCCACCAAACTTCCGGTTGTGTTGGACCTCCGTGGGCTTTCCAAAAGTCCTAAAACCAATAATCATAATGCCAAGAGTTTTTTTTTTTTTAATTGTTCTTCATTCTGGGTTGTTGATTTTGGCAAGATCAAAGGTTGTGATTAATCCGTACGTTTCACCTGGGAGAAGCTTTGGACCTGATCCCTTGTGTGTGTGTGTGTGTGTCTGCGCGTGTGTGTGTATATATATATAGGTCAAGGATCATGTGCAAAGGTGAAAAATGTGCATAAATCTCAGCCATTAAATTCATCCAGATCTACTGCTCTTTAAAAAAATTACACTTCGAATTAACAAAAATTGTGCACTTGAAAGCACAAAAACATGCACTTGAAAGAACAAATATGTGCAATCCCGAAACAATTTATGGTACCAAAAAGGGAAGTTATTCAATTAAGTGTTATTGAAGCAATTGTCCATACAAATCGTTTGTAAATCTCACAAAATCCATTAGAAATTTAGTTATAGATTATTGAAAAGAAGACATAACATATAATAAACACTTGCACATAATTGTGCACTTGAAGGCTAAAATTCTGCACTCGAAGGCATAAATATGTTCAATTAAAGTAATTTATGGTAGGAAAAAAAAAAGTTATTCAACTTATTAAGTGTTATTGAAACAATTGCTAATACAAATCGTTTGTAAATCTCACAAATTTCATTAGAAATTTAGTTATAGATTATTGAATAGAATGCAAAATATATAATAAACATTGGCCCATAAATATGCACTTGAGAGCACGAAAATATGCACTTGAACGCACAGAAATGTGCACTTGGCCAAATTTTTGCACTCAAAAGGAAAACTAAGTACTGACCAGGACTATGTAGTCCAATGGTACCCGGGTTGGACTTCCATTAGGAAGGTTATGAGTTCAAGCCTCAGTGGAGGTGTTATTAGCTCTTTGTGTTTCAGTAGGTTGAGAAAGTGGCATTCAAAAAAAAAAAAAAAAGTACTGATACAAAATATATGCAGTCAAAAAAGAAAAATGTGTACTTGAAGAATAAAAAATATGCACTCGAAGAAAAAGAACATCTAAACTTACCTACTTAAAATTACAATAACGCCACCGCGTGTTTTTTTAAATCTTCTTCATTTTGGACTGTTAATTTGGACTAAATCTATGATTGAGATTTAACCCTATTTTCTGTAATATATATATATATATATATATATATATATATATATATATATATATACACACACACACACATACATACCAAATTTGTACCATAAAAAGGCTTTGACCCGTAACTTTTTACTTCTAAGTTAGTAAGGGCAAATTATATCGTGCACCGCGGTGCATAATCGATTATGTACCGCGCATCAAAACGACGTCGTTTTGATTAATGAAAAGAAATGGTATCTGTTTCCCGCTGTTTCGCACCCTTCCGTAAAAAGTAACTCTGTTATTCAGTTTCATTTTGTATACACTGTAGTTTCAGTTCAACACAACTACAGTTTAATTTCGATATAACTACAGTTTCATTCGATATTTATAAACTCAAATATGTGAAAATGATATTTAATTTTATTTTATATAAACTATAGTTTTATTAAATACAACTACATGATCATTTTGATATAATTACAACTTCATTTTACAATATACACTCAAATATGTGAAATGTTATTCAGTTTCATTTTATATACACTGCAGTTTCATTTCACAACAACTACAATATCATTTTGATATAACTGCAGTTTCATTTGATAATATAAAATAATACGTGAGACAGTGTCGGTTTAGATATACTGTAGTATCAGTTGGTAATTAACATACAAAAAAATGCGCGCTCCATTAACACTAATGGCGCACCGTTTCTTTACTTAAAGAAACGACGTCGTTTTGACCGCAGTGCATGTGCACCGCGGTCCACGATATAACGACTGGTTAGTAAGGCACTATGCACTAAAACCGGCAAATTATTGTGTCCACACAATTGTGTGGACCACGAGTATCAAATACACTTTTAATATATTAAAAGTACATTATTTTTGTACTGAATGTACATTATATAAAATTATCCTTAGTATATTAAAAATGTACTTTCAAAAAATGTACTTTACGTACATAAATAATGTATCATTAGTATATTAAAAATGTACTTTTTATTTATAATCCACACAAATGTGTTGACCATGCTCTGTCGAGTCGGAGTGTGGGGAGGCCCTTAGGGTTGGGGTTCAGCCTTTTGAAAGAATGATTGTTAAAACCGGTCAAAGTACCTAGGAAGTCCCTGTACTATAGTGTTCTGTTCAATTTAGTCCGTGTACCTTTATTCTGTTCAATTTAGTCCCTCTACTTTAAAAAATGGTGAAACTAAGGACAATTGCCCAAATCTCATTAGGAACATGGTTGTAATTATTTATTTCGGACATACTAATTTAATATATTAGTAGTAAAAATAATTAATTTTAAATATTTATAAAGTAATATATGAGTAGTATTATAAATACCGTAAGCGCCACGTAACCTAAGTTAACAGTAATATTAATACCGTTAACTATTGTCCTTAATTGCACCACTTTTTAAAGTACAAGAACTAAATTAAACAAAATAAAAGTATAAGGACTAAATTGAACAAAATGTTATAATACAGGAACCTCGTAAGTATTTTGACCCGTCTCCAAAGTACAAAAATATAAGGCCAATCCACCTGCACCACGATAGGCCCATAGCGCCACAACAATTGCCAATTTTGCACTGTAACCCAAGACCCTTCTTTTGTATATAATAAGCCATTTTAAATATCCAATATTCATATTGAGCGTTAACTAATGTGTCAATCACGGCAATTTATATCGTGCATTGCATTGCGCCTAATACAAAACGACGTCGTTTTAGATTTCTTTATTTTTTATTTTTTAAATTTCGCTATCCTGTGTTGACGATTAATTTTTTTTTAAAAAAAAATCTCATGTTCAAAAATGTACATAATTTTATACTAAAATACACATAATTGTATACATAAATGTACATAATTGTATAACAAAATACACACTTTTAAAAAAAAAATAATACACATTAACATAATACATAATATACATAAATTTTTAACATAATACACATAAATTTAATATTTCGATTATACATAATTGTATAAAAAATGTACATAATTGCATAAACAAATACACATAATTGCAAAAACAAATACACATAATCACGTCAACTCCCTACATAACTTACCAAAACTCCCTACATAACTTACCAAAACGACGTCATTTTGGGAGGCGCGGGGCACGCCGTGGTGCAGGGTATAACGATTGGTCAATCACTATTTGAGAGAGTTCTCTCAATAAATGCAGTAGCATCAAAACCCTTCACAATTAACAAATTACCCAAGCTTGTAACTTGTAAGGACCCCAACCAATCGTTATATCGTAGACCCTGGTCCAATACACATAATAAAGACACATAATGTACATAATGCACACATACAATGTACAGAATTTATATTTATAATACACATACACATAAACACGATATAATGAAGACACATTGTCATCCCAAAAATAAAAAATAAAAAATAAAAATAAAAAGAGGGTGAACAAAACCTAACATGAACTCAATGTTGCAGACAATGCACATCAGTGCTGAATCCACCTGATTAGATAAACAAAATGGGGTTTCCCAGATTCAACCTCATCCCACATTGCATATAACATCAGTGCTGAATATAGGCCCCTGATCTCCACCATAAACATCAGAGCAATTCACATCAAGCCCTCATTTACCATAGTATCAACAATTCAGATATTGGCACTAAACAAAAGATTTTGTTGTTGTAGCCAGAAAGTTCAGACATGTGCAAAAAAACCTCAGAAGTACATCACATAAGCATAAGAAATATCCCATATCCTGCAATATTCACACAAAGCTACCTACTAAATATTTCCAATTAAGACAGTCCAAGGCACAAAGATTTTACAACATTAATCATATATTCATATCCATTCTTAAAGCATATACACTAAGAACTGGAACAAACAAGATGCCAATTATCCATTCATTCAACCAAAGGAAAGAAACACATTCACATAAGCTGATTGGTGTTAGGCCTTTCTTAGTTTCTGACAGAAATGGATATGTTACACACTTACACATGAGCTGCACATATATTGCACTTATTGCAGTTCATTTGTGTTTGTGTATGTTTTTCCTGTGAAACTAATAATTTTGACATCTTCACTCTAAATCCATTTCAACCAAATAAAATAATTGTTGTAGTAAACAGAAAGTTCAGGAATGTGCAAAATGCTTGTTCCATTGCTCAAAAAACCTCACAAGTACATCACATAAGCATAAAAAATCTATATCCTACAATATTCACAGAAGGATACTAATTACTAAATACGTCAATTAAGACAAGGTCGCACAATGATTTTACAACATTAATCATATCCATTCTGTGCATTCTTAAAGCATATACACTATGAACTCGAACAAACAAGATTCCTATTATCAATTCATTAACTAAGGAGAATCACATTTACATAAAGCTTATAGATCTTTAGAAGGGTGGATGAAGAGGTAAACTCATCTAAAACCCAGACTGTTCGATCAACTAAAAGTCTGCTATCCAAAGACAAAATTTTGCTTTTTCTCCGCCTTTGACAGTGTGTGAAATCCGCCTTCCTTAAAAGCTGCACTCTATCTGAAATAGTAAAGAGAGTTATGGTGACAACATGGTCAAATTTGTGTAAAATAATGTGCATGTGTATAAAACACAAGTTATATATAGACAGACATAACCATTTCTTATTTTCCTAATTAATGGCAAAGAGCTCAACTCATAAAGTGGACTGGTAGCATGCCGACACAAGTTATATTCTAACCTATGGTAACATCCATGCCACATTGTAGGTGATTGTAATGAAACAATTGTAATCTTTAAGCAATTATATAGCGTACTATCAATAATGAAATTTATCAATGGGTAATGACAAATAAAACTGATAAGTTGGAAAAACATGAATACGGTGTGTATATCTACTATCGCAGTATTATAAAACATGAATAATACCATTTTTAAATAAAAAAAATAAACCTTGAGATCTTGACACTTAAAAACAGACAAATTTAGAATAAATGATACAAGTGTGCACGAGGGGAAAAAAAAGGATTTTCACATGATAAATACCTTCAGTTCAAGAGCATGTACATTCATATGTTGGATGCATATAAGCAGCAAACAGTTGTCTTCTCGAGTGAACCCATTTGAATAAAGAAATCTAAACTTATTGATGAACTTAAAACCCTAGACATGCTGACAAATTATTTTTCTTGTAATTACACAACTTATGAGCTAAGTAATATGGGCAAATGGCCTATTCATCCACCAGAGAAATCACAATTCACAAATCAATATAACAAAGCAAAAAAGAAATAATCTTTCTTTTTTTTTTTTCTAATAAATAACAAGCCATAATGAAAAGGCAATTAGGCAACAGTGTCATCTACCCAACAGAGTAATAAGCTGGTACTACTACAGAGGTAAAGAATAAACATAGAGAAATCTAGAGAAGGGGCAATGGTGGACCAAAAACAAGTTGAAAATATATTCATTACACACTATGGCATCTGCAAGCAAAAAGCCATGGCATGCAAATTACAGACAACTGTTTTAGATTGTATGCAAGAAAAATCTAATCAAGAATCCATCGATGCTAAAGGCACAGAAATGGCTGCCATATACTGCAGTCGCAATATTCACATTATCGCATTTTTAACACGCGACAAGGGAAATGCACAGCACATGCACAGGAAATGCTCATAAATAATATATTAACATAACGGAGCCACAATTGGCATCCCATGCACACAAATTTAGAGTATAATTATAGATATAGCACTTATTCACAAATGAAAAGAGCTATACCCTCCAAGTCCATCTAACAGGGTATCCATATCCTAGGGTTGAACATTCAAAAGGAGTTCATTTCAAGACAATATGTCCTCCTCTTCATTAGCATCCTCACTGCTGTCCCATAAGGCTGCTCAAACAGTGAGGCAACCGAATTTTCATCGGACCCAACCACATCTCTCCTGGGTTGTTCACTAGGCCTGATCACCACCATGCTTGCCCCTTTCAACACTGTCCCATCTGGTAACTCCAAATGAGGGGCATACCATAACCGCATATTAAGAGCTGGAACCATAGTCCTCTTTGAGGCCGCCGAGGCCAACAATGGCTTCACCCTTAGCTCCTCCAGCTGCTCCCTGTTCATAGAAAGAATGCCCTGCCCACTAGCATCAGTCAAAACCAATCTATCTAGAGTCTTGTGCTCTGCAATTATGGGCTGCAGCAAATAATGCCTAGCAGAAGCTGCAATTAGCGAGCTTATTGTCCACACCACGCGCATCTTCAAACCTCCATTTGTGTGAAACTCATTCTCGCCATTTCCATCAATGGCCGCGTTATTATTGACCGGAGCCTGCTCGGGAAGGGTAGCAATATGAATGCTATTACTAACATCGTTAGCTTCCAATATTAATGGTGGAATCACCTTCGCGGCACCCAGGATAGCGCAATTTTCAAGTGTGGACCCGAAATCGGCCCTCCATTTCAGCAAAACCCCATCTTCAATTCCGAGCTCCCCGCTCGGCAGTTCAATCTGCAGGAACTTGATCTCGCTAAAATTCTTCAACACCTGGCTGGGGGAGTGGTGAGTCACGTCGTCCTGATCAAAATCATCATCGCCGAGGGCCGACGAAACCGCGTCACATCGAGCGGAGGTGGCGATGAACTGTGAGAAAGACTGGAGAGGCTTCAGGAGCCCGGAGAAGGCGAGACGCAGGAGGGAGGAAACGGAGTGGCGGGACCTGCGGGCAGCGCCATCGTCAGCCGACGCCGACGAAGAGGCACCGTCGTCGGAGATAACGCAGTCTACCTTAACGACGACGTTTTCCACCTGGGGTACTAAGGCGTGAAAACGCCTCGAAACGACGCAGCAGCGGCCGAGAGCCTTAACATCCCCGATCCTATTGAACACGAGTACGACAAGCGAGTCCGGCAGACAGTCGAAGTGGTCCACCGGCTCCGGCGACACTCTGCAACTCAGATCTGGCCTTGAATAACCCATCTTGGGCACAAATTCGGACATGAATACACGCTAAATTCACACTCTATGCATACAAAAGTGGGAATGAGGGTTTATTGATCGGATAAGAAAGAAGGGTTTCAGAATTGAGAAAGATATAGCGAAGAGGGAGAGTTACGGTGGGCGGTGGGAGTAACGAGTGCGTGAGTTTCTCCTTTTAGCGTAAAGACGGAGATATGGAGGATGAGGATATTCAGTAATCATGATTTACATTTTTAAAAAATGAGTTACATCTACTCAAATGTTGGCAAATTATGTTGTGCATCTTTGTCCATCATGCATGGTGTATACAGATAAAAAAACGACATCGTTTTGATTAAAAATGTGTGTCTTTCTTTCAAAAAAAAAAAAAAAAAAAAAAAATTCAGGTTCGATTCTCGACAGCAACATTATATTGTGCATAATTTGAACTATAATCCAAAATCAATGAACTAAAAATTCAGAATCAATGTACTAAAAATACATAATGAATGAACTAAAAATCCATAATGAAATGAACTAAATATCCAGCATGAATGAAAAAAAAAAAAAAAAAAAAAAAAAAAAACAATTTCGATTTCCGTCTAAATATCCAGAATCAATGAACTAAAAATCCAAAATCAACGAACTAAAAATCTAGAATCAATAAACTAAAAATCCAGAATCTATGAACTTAAAATCCAAAATGAATGAACAAAATAATGTTGTTGAGGGGAATCGAAACTGAATTTTTATTAAAAGTGAAACGCGCGTTTTTAGTCAAAACGACGTCGTTTTTGCATCCGTGTGCACCATGCATGGCATGGTGCACACGGATGCACAGCATAACGATTGTCAAATGTTTTGTTGGGTTGGGGGTTGGGGTGTAGGAGGTATTTGGAGTTTGGGGATTCAACTTTTTGAGAGGAGGGATAGAGGATGAGTTAATGAGTAGCGTTAGTAGGCCGCTGATCGGAAGGCGCCATCACGTCAGTTGGCCGGGTGGACGGAGCAACCGCCGCGGTGGTGGCATCGGCTGGGCGGGTTGGATTGGCCATAAGACCGATTTTAGGCTGATACCAAGTAAAGGAATATAATTCGTGATTGTATTTGCATAATAATTTACAGAGGTTTATATAGCTAAACTAAGCACCACAATATGTGGAGCAGTACAGGACTTAACTCAAGAATCTAACAACTCAAAACAAACTTATTCTATCAACTTCTAATTCCAAATAACTACACCAATATATGTGACCCTCCGTCCTATCTTATGTGTTTGATTCGGTTAACGTTGTGTATATCATGCAAAGTGCACACGGAATTAGATTCATAATTCCTATATTATAAATTCATAATTTCTATACTATAGATTCATAATTTCTATACCTATACTGTAGATTCATAATTTCTAAACTGTAGATTCATAATAACACTACCTTAAAAGCGTTATTTGCCCGGTAATGGTGCAGTTAGAACCCTGACACGCTTTCGACAGGTTACACAGACCTACTACGGATAGCTTGCACTAGCAATCACGTAAGCGAACCTCACTATTGCTCAGACTTTAATAGGCAAACACGAAATTATATATATATATATATATATATATTTATATATATATATATATATATATATATATATATATATATATATATATATATAATTTCGTGTCTGCCTATTAAAGTCTGAGCAGTAGTGAGGTTCGCCTACGTGATTGCTAGTGCAAGCTATTCGTAGTAGGTCTGTGTAACCTGTCGAAAGCGTGTCAGAGTTCTAATTGCACCGTTACCGGGCAAATAACGCTTTTAAGGTAGTGTTATTATAACACGGCACAAATTTCCCTGTGTTATTATAACACAGCACGGATTTCCCTTCTACCCGCGCGTTGACGTTGCGAATATTCTCCAACATTTTTCTCGAAATATTTTGTCCTTCTTACACTCGATCTGTAGAGTGAGTGTTCCACCCCTCCAGCAATATGCAATCCGATCTATTTATAGTACTATTATATTGCTCAACTAATCTAACACTTTTTTTGCTTTTATATAATTCAAATTTGAGCTCCTCCATTTTTTCCTCAGATCACGTTAGACTAGGAACCATATATGCATCCTCTTTGAATTAGAACCACTTCCATACGACCATACGTACTCTATACCGGCCTGCTGAAAGAGAATTATAAGGCATTTATTATGCAAAGACCTATTGCAATCATAGCTTGCTTGGTAATTCTATATTTCTATGTATTTTTATTATTTTTGAAGGCAAATTATAAGGGCTAAAAAGGTGCAGGATCACTAATTTAAGTAGAAAATAATAATAATAATAATAATAATAATAATAATAATAATAATAATAATAATAATAATAATAATAATAATAATAATAATAATAATAATAATAATAATAATAATAATAATAATAATAATACTGTAAATCTTTTGTTAATAAGGATTTATTATATTACCTAAAACAAATAAATAAATACATTGCTAACAAAAATACTCAAATAAGCGTAATACAAAAATAATATAATTTTTAAATAGAAATAAATATGTATTAGGCAGACCAGTTAATAGAGACAACAACGGATTCGCTCCTTGATATTTCCTCGCCGGCGGCAACCGATGGGTCGCCGGAAGACCAGGATCTACTTGAGAGAAGCACCAAGAAATCCAAGAGAGACCGAGATGAGATGCTATCACCGTTGGGGCTACCATCGGAGGGAACAATCAAAGAAACACCGACCGGCGCAGGGGTATCTACTCCGGACTCCAATCAATGGAAAACTCCAGACGCTACCCCTCACCAAGCGTGGTCGTGTAAGGGAACTTCCTAACCACCAGTCGAGGATGTGGATTCGGACGACGATATGTTGGATGAGGAGACGGCGAAGTTTGAGTACCCGGTCATCTTGGTAACTAAGGAGGAGAATGAAAGGCTACGACGCCCTTGGCGAAAGTCTCAGATTATCAAGCTATTGGGGAGAACAGTTAGTTATTCCTTCCTCTTGCAAAGATTGGAACATATGTGGAAGACAGAAGCTATGTGACACCCCGTAAATCCAAACTCTAGTCAAGGATTAATTGGATAATTAATCCTAGTTTTATTGTTAACTTATTCCTAAAATCCTGAAAATTCAATAGTCGGAGGACTAGAATTTGACTAGTCAATCCAAGTCAAAGAGTTGTACCTTATGCCTAGTGAGTTGTTCCCTTGTTTCCTTAAGGGCAAAGGGGTTTTTCTACCTAAGTTTGTGCTCCAAGCTAACCTAGCATCATCCCTTCATTTCATCCACCAACACTCTAAACACAAAACCTCTACCTTCTCTCTAGGATTTTGGTAGCTTCTTCTCCAAGCCAAAAGTTGGGCATCCTAAATCCTACCAGTTGTCTTACAAGATTCATACTTTCCTAATCTTGAGCATAGGGGAGGGTAAGATCCTTGATCTCTTGGTGTTTTTAGCATCCTTTTAGTTGTCTTTTTCTAAAAATAGAATCTTTGTTGTCTTTTGGTATGTTGCTGAAGTTGGTGTTGAAGGAGAGCTTTAGGAGAAGCTTTTTAAGGGTGAAAAAGTGAAGTTCTAGGCTACAAAGGTAACCCATGCTTTACAAAACCTATTTTCTTACTTATATGATGATTGCTTGGCTTCTACTTGTGATTCTTGTGTTGAAATGTGAGATTTGATGCATTGTCTTGTGGTAATGCATGTTTAGAGCTTGTTCTTAGGGTTCTTGTATGCCATTGCTTAGCTATTTCTTGGGTTCAAGTCATATTGTTGTATTGTGTGAGATTTTGGGTGTTTTGGACTTGAATTTGGACTTGTTGATGAAAATCCCCGAAGGGATTATTTTGGAGCACAGGGTGTACCCGCGGGCGGAACGACAGGTAGTGCACCACTCGCCACCCCACCCGGGGGTACATGTGGTGTGTGGGCTCGTACCCGCGGGCGGAACCACGGGCGGAGGTCCACCCGTGGCCCCACCCGCGGGGAACATAGATGGTTGATGTCGGGGGTTTGTTCCCTGTGATTCTTTTGACTCGGTATTGATGTTTTGACCTCTCGATGTTGTTTTATTGGGCTATTTGAGTGTCTTCTTGATGTTTCGTATGTCTAGAACGGTATGTTAGGAATCCATGTAGGATTTGGTGTCTTGAATCGTGCTTGTGGTCCAACTTTGTGATTCGTTGGATTGATGTTGAGTCTTGTATGTTCTATGGAACTACTTTTGGTTTACCCGTTTGATAAGCATGCTAGTTTGATGTTGAAATGCTAGTGTGTGCGGTTTGTTCTTTCCTAGTGAGATTGGCAACTTGTGTTGACCATCGTTTGGAGTCGGATTGTGATCCTTCGTTGTTGAGTATGTTTTCATATCTTTGTTGTGATCCATTGATTGATTCCTATGATGTGAACGTGTGTAATTGTTGTGCCATTTGACGGAAGCATGACTAAGGTTTATGGGGCCTTAGTTTTCCTGAAAATGATGCGGTCCTCGTGTGGCCATGATTGTAATTGGTGGTGCGACCTGAGCGTAGGCTCATATGTTGGCGGTTGTGTTATATGAATTGTACCCTCGTGTACTGATATGTTGGCGGAAATGTTGGCGGTTGTTGGCGGGGGAACGACGGTTCCTGGATGCATAAAGTTGGACTCAGAAGTACAAGGTGGCACTCAGAGGTAATGGTTGGAACTGTAATAAGGCCGGTGGTAGCCATAAGGTTGGAACAGGGCATAAGGTTGGAACTTGTGACATGTAGTTGTCACTGTGGCATGTAGTTGCCAATGTGTGATTGTCTATTCTCTGATATTGAGCATGTCTTGATGTATTCTACTTTGTGATCAGTAGAATACCTCTCGAGTTGTATGGTTTTCAGTTGGTATTCTTGCCTTGATGTACTCTACTTTGTGATCAGTAGAATACCTCTCGAGTTGTATTGGTTATAGTTGGTATTCTTGTCTTATCATTATCTTAAGGATGTTGATTTCCTTTTCCTTTGAGAGTGTGAAAGAGTCTTTGAAGTTGATTTCTCTCTATGACTTTTGAAATGATATATACTGTATTCTGTTTCGAAAATGGTTTTGACTTATACTATCTACATATGTTATTTAACGCGTATTGATGGGTTACCAGCAATGTTCGCTGACCGGGTGTCATTCCCTATCTTTATGTTGCTTTACAGGTTTTGAGTAGCATCTTGGAGAGCGCGCTA